TTCTCATGGCCCATGGCCTGTAAGTAAACTCAAATAAATTTTTGTAAACAATTCAAAATCTAGTGTGCGGTGTTATTTTAACTTTACCGCTTCTTGCTCTTCACTCTATCACGCTGCTTAGTCTGGTGCTCTATGCGTCTTCTTCGAGATTTACGCTTTGCTTGCTACACTTCTTGCCCTCTTACGCAATTATGGTGTTGTTGCTCGTTGTTCCTTTCACTTTCATTTTATTTGTGGGAAAACTTTCGCCTTTGTGGCTGGCTGTTAACCAACCGCGAAAGCACTTATATGTAGTTCTAGTTCGTTGTTGTTTTTTTTATTGTGCGATTTGTTATTTTGCAATTTTAGCTTTTCCTCGAAAGTGCTGCAACTGAGTTGGTTGCTTTCCTTTTTATTTTTGTACGAGCTTTTTGTTTCGCTTTTACAATGCCACCCGGAGCAACTGAGAGTTGATCGCTTCAAGGGTGTTTAAGGTCTGTAGTCACAATGTTAAAATCATTTTTATAAAATGGTTCACCCGCTTGAATGGATATCAAAGACCTCACTTTTATTGTGTTTTCATAACCTTTTCGTCTCAACAACTATGGACGTAGAATGAAAATTTGTCATCTTATATTACTTTTTTAAACTAAGGTGAAGGTTAGGTTAATCTGTGCGCTACGCATACGCCGTCGGTTAGCTAGTGATACTAAATGAAGATCGAAGCTTAATAATCATCAATTATATAAATAGGCAAACATGTTTTCTTTACACCCCTTTTACGGCTAAACTATACTTCTAAATTATAATAAATTATATATCATTAGAAAGGTATTTTGATGCAGATGTGCAGAAAATTTTTCAAATTTCAAATTAGTTTAACATAAAGCGAAAAAATCAATTCAAAAGTGACCAATACAAATGCCATACATGTACATGGTTGGGGCGGAAATGCCCCCTAAATGTATGCTTTAATATTGATACTGAATTAGAGAAACATGCGAAGCAACAGTTTAGGAATAAGATTTATGTATGTTTGTAGATGAATAGTTGCGACTCATTCAAGGAAGAAGGTAAAGAGAGTTTGTAGAAGAAGAAAGGGATAATGGCAAAGAGGGTAAATTAAAATACTTAATATATAGCAAAGGTGTGGGTAAATATGTACTATGTACACGAAGAAAATAATGAAGATAAAGATCTGGATAAAATTCATGGTAATGATAGATATATAGATATGTATCTATGAAAAATTGTTTTTTCACATATAAAAATTCATAAAAAACTTTGAGCGCTTTGAGGGACCTCTAAATATTTTTTGATTTCAAAATAAAGAATAGGGGTATACTGTTTTTCGATATAGAACAATCCTAAGGGGTGAGAGCATTACAATTCCGACTTTACTTTTTCACATGCATTTTTGGACCACCCTAATGTACATATATGCGGCGCGTATGAGTGAACCTTTCTAAAGTATATTGAAGTGAAACTTCTTAATCGAGGTCGGAGATGTTTGTCCTAAATTTTAACACTACGTCATAAGATCTGAATGATTTCGTACATTACACTGTAGGTAAGCTAAAATGACACAAAAAACGCCGATACACGTAAACTTAATTTTGGGTTGTAGAATGCTCTCACCCCGCATTACAATTCCGACTTTACTGTTTATGGACCACCTTAATGTGCATAAAGGTATACACGAATTAGCATATCCGCTGTGACTTTCAACTCAAAACAAACCAGTCAAAAGACCAAAGGATACCTTAATTCAGACAACTATTTTTTCTACTTTCAGATGGTTAAGTTATTTTGTTTATAAATTACATTTTGCATTTCTCACTAACACATATGTACATACATACAAATCTATGTATGCAAGCGAGAAAGTGTTGTAGTTACATGTAAGCTCAATGTACAACATCAAACGTCAGCGCTTCCAACTAAACCACTTGTGCTACAAATATCACTTTAATCTTTGCAGAATCCAGTTAGCAGTTTTACAAACATTTTGCGCTTGGAGAAAGTAATTCAATTGCACTTTGTAGATTAACTAGTAAATTTATTTAGTTTATTAAGGTTGCGGCGGCTAAGCAGACAGCGACGCGACGTGACCACAACTACTGCCAGCGATTGAAATATTTCTACACACAAATGTACGTTCATATACATATGTATGTATACTAGGATGATCCAAAAAAACTAACCTAACGCATTTATGGCCTTAAAATGACCTATTTAATGAGAACTTTTTCTCTCCTCTCTCTAAAATGCTCCAAAAAATTAGCTTAAGTTTGGCTGTCCGAAAGACGATTACGGGAATTAAGTCTTTTACCTCAAACGGTTCAATATTTATAGCATTTTTAATGAAAAAATAATGTTTTCAATTTATTTACATGCAAATTTTCCAGTGCACACCGACAACTTTTATAATTGGAATAAAAATGTTTTCAAATGGGAGAATTTTGTTCTGAGTAAATTGGTCCTTTCGGTGCCATACATTCTTTAGTTAAAGTTTTATTTTTTGTGGATCACCCTAATATATACAAAAGGACTAGTGCAAGCTCCATATTTATATATGTATGTGATTGAGTGCAATATGTAGGAAGGAGTTAGCAGTAAATATATATACATATCTTGTTTAGTGGAGAAGCGCGTGAGTAACGCGGAAATCTAATTAACCGCGTTTTAATTAGTAACTATACCGCCGGCAAATGCCATATGAGCAGCAACAGAGGCAAACGAAGGAGTTAAGTTACATTCATGTATATAAATAGGATCGTGACACAACTTGCAATGGACAGATTGAACAACCCAGGAGGTTGGATAATGTTTCATGACCCTGCAGTGGCCAGTCACAAAAGCTGTTAGAATTCTTACACCGTGTCTTGTAAGGTTAAAGAGTTCCTAGATTCTCCCCTGCTTCGTCTTTGTCCTTCTGTCTTTTTTCACATATAGTAGCTGTCACTAAACTCCCACGACTCCAATATTATCCGAGTGTCAGGTCACTCGGGAGTACCAGGTAATGTGGCAGCTGACAATTTGATCAGAGAGGGCTCAGACCAGGTATTCATCGCTCCGCAGCCATTCATAGCACTCGCACCTTCAGCGAGACGGAGAAGCACTTTTTGTATCTTTGTCCGCCTTTTCAAGGATTAGATATCAGGATTTTGGTGGTTTGGTGTTTGGATCAGACGTTGCTTAATGGCCTAGGCCTGAAAGACAGAATAAGCTCGGCCTGTGCTAGTGAAAAGGAATCTTCTGGGTTGTATACGGCTATCCTTTGTCGTTCATTGTGCAATGGGTTCGGTTACAGAAAAATGCTTTAAATATATGTGTGAAGTTAAACCTCGGAAGGCACAGGTTCACAATATATCCCTGAAAGCAACTGGGTGTATAACACTTTTTTCCTCCCGATTGTTTTCTGATATGCGATATATAAGGTAACGATATATAATATGCGAAGGAAATTTTTATGAAGGTCATCAAAACGTGATGTTAAAATAAAAATCTTGTACTGTAGGTGTGAAGTATTGTGGTTATTCACACTTGCCTGGTGGTCAGGTTATCTGGTTGAAAATTATCAGAAACGGCTGGACTATATGAAATTTGGCACACGCTTGCCTTATAAGTCGGACTAACATTTGAAATATTTTTTAAAGATTTTTAAGAGGGTCGTCTGTTTAAAATTCTAAATTCAAATCGCATGAGTTTTGCCCACCATCCAACAACCATCTGATTTCCAGGGTAACCATCTATGCGGACAATGCTTCAAAGGGCATTGGATGTGCCTTTTTTGCCTTAATGGAGTGTGAGATTTTAAGAAACGAATATAGAAATTTGTTTACCGGTTTGATTTTATATATTTTAGAATCGAAGACGAAAAAAAGGGCAATCAAAAGGCGATTTCTTTTGTAAAAATTAAAACACCAGAGTTAACTTAAATATTAAGTTTAACCCGTTTTTACAGCACCATTTTATGATATCATCCGTGTATCCCTGAACAAAGAGACCCTTTCCTGTGAATGTAATGATTTAGGTTGGGTTAGGGCAGCTATGTAAAGAGTTCACCCGGAGGCCCGGAAAATGCCCATTGTGATACCCAAGGGGTATCCATCTGCCTAGATATATAATCTTTCAACCATTTTGATTATCTGACGAATCCTAACAGCCCTTCAAATGAAACTTTCCCTTACATATGTATCTACCATCTCGAAGATGTGGTACCCAAGATGTTTAAAACTTTTCCTCGGAATGCTGGGCACTCGCTGCGGAAGTTCTGGACGGATTCTATCTCCTCCTCATCTCAGCAGCTTTTGAAAAAACCTTATGTGGGTCCACTGTCCGATTAGTATATTTGGGGCTAAGCCTAATGTTCGGCTTTGAAAGCCTTAATGAACTACGTTTTCTTCATTTGAGCCATGGCCAGAGCGAGCGCGATACCCTGCAGGTGTGCAGAATTTTCCACCTACTGCCCCAGTTACTCTCTCAACTTCTGAAGACAGAAATCGCTCGGGAGATTTTACGATCTTTGGCCTGGGACCCAGTCAAAATTAGTTATATGTTGCTGTAGAGCTTGTAGGGATCTTCCATATTGCTTGACTTATATCTAGTTAGTCGTTGCTGACCCCAAGGATTTGATGGCCGCTTGACTGTCAACAGCGAAGGCAAGTTTATATGGAGCTAGTTTGTTCCTGCTCACCAGCTTTGACGCCATGTCGAAATCTTAGCCTGGGAGACACTGCAGTAATCTGGGAGCCTATAGGAGTCTGTAAATAAACCGAGTTTAAAGTTTATTATGGCCACAACCATGAAATCAAGGGACGTACTGATCTTTGTGAAAATTTACCAATTTTAGACAAAATTTCCTTGCCGCCTATAACCATAAAGAAATTCAAAATTCCTTTCTTCAAAACTACTACAAAATCAAAAAATTTCCCCTCTTTAGTGATCTTAATGTAACCACTCTCGTTCACTTTCCTTGTTATTAACATTCAAATCCCATTTGCTCTATCTCTTTGCAGTCATCCCAATCGCCGCGCATCGGTGCGTGTAAGCGCCTCCCAACCGCAACTCGGTTACACAACGAACGGCAGTACCGCTGGAAATGCCATGGTTGTTGGCAGTGGAAGCGGCGGTGGCCTACGAAAGGATGTCATTAGCAGTATCAGTGGTGGTACGGCTAACAACAATAGCAGTAGTAGCGCATTGTTGCCACTACAGCAACAACAACAACAACAACAACAGCACGGCAGCACTTGTGAGCAAAGCACCCAAACGCCGGAATCCATAATGCGCGAAACGCGTCGCCACAAACTGAAATCATTCAAATTCTCGCTGAACAATGTCACAACGCCAACATTGAATTTACGGTGAGTAAGACACATACTTTATGTACATACATATGTACATATAGTCGACTCCGAGTAGTGTCAACTGTGCCACGTACAATCTGCGACGTTGAACGGCAACCAGTTGACACTAATTTTCTTGCATTACCATAATTCACTTTGTTTTGCTTTTTCCTGTGCTTTCGTTTGTTTTTTTTTTCTCTTCCTATAGTTTCCTGAACAATCGCAACAAACGCAATAGTCTATCTGCTAATGCTGTAGCGACCGAGCAGAAAGCTACTAAGGTCCTCGGCCTCGTCTTCTTCACCTTTGTTCTCTGTTGGTCGCCATTTTTCATATTGAATATCATTTTTGCCGCTTGCCCCGAATGTCAAGTGCCCGAACATGTGGTGGATACTTGCCTCTGGCTCGGTTATGTCTCATCAACAATTAATCCCATCATTTATACAATTTTCAATCGAACATTTCGCGCGGCCTTCATTCGTCTACTCAAATGCAATTGCGAACGGTAAGTGAATTAGTGGGGCGAGTGGGCGCACGATGTGCTGTGGGCTTGTTAATTATATGTTGGGTAATCGTATTTAAAATTTAATTAACAATCTCTTTTGTTGGAAGATTAATCACTATGCGCATGTGTGCGTGTGAAATCAGGGATAAGTATGTAGGTGTATAATGAATATGGGAAAATATGGAAAATTCCCTTTGCTTACAACTGGGTTTAATATCCCAATTACAAATATTACATTGTGGCAGATAAACGAATTATGAGAACATTGCTCGCTTGGCCACCCATTGAACTAAAGCTTAATATGAGCAAATCTCACGAGTTTTCACAGGTGGTGGCACACTTACCTTATACTATGTCTCCATTGTGAGATTTAATGAAGATTTAGCCCTCTGGCGAGATTTAACGTTAAATATTTTGAGATTTACCATATAAAATTAAATCTCAAAAGGCAGTAGATTTAAGTTAAATCTTCCTTAAATAATCAATAATATTGATCACTAAATACACTTTGTTGGGTGTGGCAACCACAATTTCACATGCCATAAGTCAAATGACGTTTGTATTTTCAATATACAGTTGC